TGGGCAACAACGGCCCCTGGAGCAGCAAACCCCCGGCCGCTCAGGACAGCAAGCCCGAGAGCACGGCGCCCCAAGCCTCTCAGTAAAACAAGAAGAAGAAGAAAGAGAAGAAGAAAAACAACAGATCCTCCTCGGCTCCATGTGGACTGGACTTTTTTAACCTTACCCCCCTTTTTTCCCCTGAGGGCTTCATAACATTGAACCCACCTCCCCCTCCCCCTCCCGTCTGCAAACTCTTCACCGGCATGTCCAGCCAAAATATGTCCTCTTCTTCTTCTCTGAATCACTGTAACATCTCAGAGAACATTGAGGTTGGCACAGCAATATCCACATGACACAGACATCAAAATTTGTGTACAAGTCGTATGCAACTGTAATGTAAAAAATAAAAAGGCGAGGCGTCTGCATTTTTTGGGGGGAGGAATGCAGTGGAAAATCCAGTTCAGATTCTCCTCCTTGGACCCCTCGGATATACAAACTGCTCGTCTGGTGGAATACAGCAGCTGTGATTGGTTGACCTGCAGGTCACGAGTCATCATGCTGACGGTAGACAGTGAGGAGAGAAAAAAGAAGAATAAAAAAAAACAACAAACAAAATGTCTTTCAAAAAAAAAAGAAAAAAAAAAGGAAAAGCTCAACCGTGAGAATTCAAGGTGTTTTTTTTAAAAAAAACAGCCACTGGAAGCATCTCACCACAGCGGAGACAAATGAAACACTGTTTGAGGGCGAATGCATTTTTTCTTCTAGACTCAGTTTGCTGTTGGTTTTGTTTTCTGCTCTTGCTTTTTTATTTCCATTTCCAATTAAGGGGGAGATAAAGAAATTATCTACCGCAATGGACTGCGTTCAAACGAGGAAAAAAATTGTGTCCTCGGATTGTTTTTTTCCACATTTAACCGCGTCACAGATTGTGATTTCATGCAAACCAGTTTGATTGTGTTTGTAGTCAATTGGTATTTTTGCTTCTCTCAGAACACCCCGTTTTCTGCAATCACGTTGTAATTTTGCCGTTTAGTAGTGAACTTAACACACATTGATGCGTTAATGCTGATTTTTTTTCCTTCTCCCTTCTTGAAAAATTGGACTTTTTTCCCTTTAACGACCTAACTCCCAAACTGATACTAAAAGCCTTTTTCCTGCATGATTTTATAGGATTTTTTATTTTCTTTGATATATGTACTTTTTAAAAAACCATCCGTTGTTTTTCGGGTTCATCAGTTTGGGAACACTGTTAAAAGGTTTGTAGCTCTGTACATAGAGGTGGAATCTATTTTGTCCACTGTAAAATCAGCCACTGAAAAAGCAGTTTGGATATGGCAGCTGTTTTGTTTTGTGCAGGAGACTCAGATTTCTGTCGGGTGGTGTCTGGATGGACTTTGTTTGCCTCCTATGTTTCCCTCTTGAGCTAGTGCAGAACCAAAGCCACAAAGTTAGCCGTCACATGATCACATTTCTTGTGTATTCTGTGACATGACGAGGGAAAACAAAACTTTTTTTTTTTTTTAAATGACACGCAGCTCGAGTCACCTCCACCCTACAGAAATGCTTTGAGATCCCTGCGTTTGTGTTCACGATTGTTTGAATCGATATTATATCCCTGATCCTCTTTTTTGTTGGACTTTAGTTTGAAAAATGGGCGAGAAGACAGCCACAGACGTCTTTATACAATTGGATCTTAAGGGTATTTATTTGTGCATTTGTAAGGAAGCTAACACATTTCTAAATATGTTTGAGCCTAGTATTATTAGACACCATTTGTACATTATATAGCAGAGGTGTTCAGTGTCATATCTGATGTCTGGTATGTATGCTTTACCATTATGTGTGCCAATAAACCGTGCTTACAAAGGAGATCGATTTCATTTGGCTACAGACATCACATGTTTGCATGTACCATTTCTTTATTTTATTTTTAAGTTATGTTTTGGGCCTTTTTTTTCCCCTTTATGAGATAGGACAGCTGACGAGTGACAGGAATTACGGACTCGAACCCACAGCCACTGCAATGAGGAGTCCAGCCTCCACACAGGACGTAACCACTGGGCTATCGGCCTTCCACCATTTCTTCATTTTGATGTGACACACTAACCTTGTGTCTGTTTAGTTTGAGACGCTATTGGAGAGTTCATTTTTTTACTTTGAAAAACAGGAGCTGACAGAAACAATATGTTGTGACTTTTCTCATCTGATTAGAGATTCTAATTTAGTCTTTTCCAGCAATAAATAAGAACGCTCAGAAGAAATGGAAATGTTAAAACGTACAAAACCAAAACAACTGGACTCTATGGAGAGAGAGCGACTATGTTGCCATGACAGTAAGATTTTCTGCTAACAAAAGAAGGTGGATTTGATTGTTTTTTTTGTGACATGGGAATAGGGTACAGTTTCATTATCATCCATGTCACTAAAAAAGGCTTCAGTGCAACATTGATTTCTCAGAGTGTATCTATACTCGTTCTTGTTCCAGATGCTAACAGGTGACAGAAGGTGATTGGAAAGCACATCCAAATATTTCTGCATCCATGAAAAAGTCAAATAGCAGAACATTATTTAACATCAACATCAGCTGTTTTTGTGTCAGTCTGCAAAAAACGGGAAAAGCTTCTTCCCAGAGCTGCAACTTCTACCAACATGTATTCATCAGATTGCAGCGTAACTAATAATATAGAAAAAATATAGACCAGCATGCAATGCAGCTACAATGCATTTTTTAACATGAGGTCATCATCTTGTACATGGAGAGATAAAAATGGAGAGAGGTTAGAACACAGAAAGGTTTACAGACCCATGCAGAGCTGGATAAACACTGAAGCTTCAGAGTCCACCACATGGTGACCTGTGTGAGCATGGACTCTAGAGAGGAGAGGGGTAGGCAGCTCTCTCTAATGTTTTGAACCTATGACAACAGTACAATCCTACTTTGATGTGAACGTGAGTGACAATAATGTTATTGCATTTAACAATATTCTTTTATTGGGTTGTTTTGTTTTACTTTTAATGCTTTAAGCTCATTTTCTGATTAAATAAATTACTTTTTTGAATGCATGACTCTTACATGTATTGAGATTTACTTGGATGGATGTAGCAGATGTGCTCTCCCCTGTAGTCCCCTTGATATGATATGATACGAAGGAGCCTGATTCAAGCAGCTGGTCACCTGAGTCACCTGAGTTACCTGAATACATTTTCAAATGAAACCTGGAACATGAATAAATGTATTGGACTGAGTTTTATCCTCAGAAAAGTTCAGCAGATAACTCGGTATAGGAGCCTCAGCGCTGTTGTTGGGTAAACTTTAAAACCAGTACGATTTGATGGAGCTCTGGCGCCACCAAGTGGATCCCAGTGAGAACTACATCAAATCACTTTTAATATACTAATTTAAATAATTATTTCATAATCATAATCATATAGAAATGACTAGTTTGACATTCTTTATTTAGACAATTAGTATCCAAGTGTTTTAGAATAAGGTCAATAATTGTCGTCAATTCATTTTAACCTCAAAAAGACTTATGTGTTTAAACAACCAGTATGGCTTTATTATTATTAAATAAAAATAGGCCTACATCATTTATTTGTTTGTCTCTATAACTCCAATATTCATCAATAAGTCAAATACGATTTTCAAGTCTACATTATTTCTGGTTTAAAGTTGTGATTACCCCCCCAACATGTGTTTTAAAAAACCTACGAATAAAACTATCATTATTTCTATTAAAGTAGGCTACTTCAAAAACATAGTTCATAGTCTTTAAGCACTCTTCTTTCTCTAAAGATTTGCACGTTTCTTTATGCTACCAAACCTTTAGACACGTTGGGGTCCATAAATTAATCATTCTGTATTTAAATTGTTCAAAATCAAAATATTTCAAACACCCATGTTTTCAAATTACAAACGTAACCTGAATCTTATCAAACTATTAAATATTTTTTTACTGTCTTAATTAAAACATGAAATATACGCTACTGTCAAAGTCATGCCTTAACAAGTTAAGAGCTCTCATGGAAAAAGAGCACAAGAGTTTTAGCAGCGCTCTAATTTTATGAATTGCATAATATGGTTGCTCATTTTCAAGCTCAGGTTTGGAGTGACTAAATTTGGCTTTGTAGATGGTATTTATTTCTGTTTTTTAACTATTGCTGTTGTGGAAACCGAACAGTTATGAGGGACAAAAAATGACTAAAGTATAAATAAATAAATAAATGAATGAATAAATAAATGTTGGGAGAAATGCATACAATAATGTATAAATAAATAAATAATTAAATAAATGCATCAATAAATATATAAATAAATATATAAATAAATGCAACAATTCATATAAAAAATAATATATAAATAAATATATTCATATATTTATTTATTTATTTGTGTATTTCTGTGTCCATGTTGTACAAGGAAAAGTAAATATGTAAATTAAGTGGGCCGTCCTAACATTACTGAAGTAGGATTGGTCAATTTTGAAAAACAGACAGAAGCAAATTTACATAAATACTTTTCCTCTTCCACACAGAAATAAATAGATGTGTAAATGTAAAAATATGGAAATAAATTAATAACTCAGTTAATGTGGAAATGTATGCATTGATACATATATAACTGTAGAAATACGCTAATAAATGAATAAATACATAATATATAAATAGCCTTTTTCATTAACAAAGTGTATTTATTATTTATTCATTGATGTATTGTTTTCAACATTTATATATTTATTGATGTATTTATTTATTTATTTATTTATGCATTATTGTATGCATTTCTCCCAACATTTATTTATTTATGAATTTATTTATACTTTAGTCTTTTTTTTTTGTCCCTCATAAACAGTTGGCTACATTTGTAATAAGTCAAATGGTATCAACAATATCATGAGATACATCTATCCAAAACCACCTGAATCTACCTGTTCCCGTTCATCTCGATGACGTCATTTGTTTTTTCACCTAGAAGGCGATGACGTTGCACAGGGCGACGCGGCGGCACAGAGTTAAAGATGGCGGACACATCGGGGACCGAGCAGCTGTCAGACGAGAAAGAAACAGACAGCGAGCTCAAGAAACGACAGAAACGACCTTGGGAGGAGTTGCACAGGTCGGGTAAAATCCGTATAACTCCAGAGCTGCCGGAAACTTTGGGATTTTACGACATCGGTGCTGTCAGGAGGGAGCACCTGGAGCAGCCAGCAGGTAAACGGTTTAACGTTACGGTCACTGCACGCTTTCTAGCTTGATTAACTCCTTAAATACATAATTAAACTAAGAATAGCAGCTCAGTGGATAACACAGAGTAGAGTTAATCATTAAAACAATGTCCTGGCTCTTCTGTTTTGCAGTGAAGCTAATGTTTAAAGTTAGTTTACATACAGTAATCCACCATGTAGCTGTATGCTAACAGTCCAGTGGGCGGTAACCATGACGACCCCACTCTGTATCAGTTATTTAATACGTCATTGTTTACATCCGGGTTACATAAAAAAATAGTATCAATAAATGTTAAGCTTATATTTAAATAACATACAAGTACATACAAAATACATTATTGTTGTTGTTGTTAATTTAGACTAATAATAAGTAGGGCTGGGAAGATATCGAGTTTTTAAGATATATCGATATATTTTCAAACAAGATATAGAGTAAGACAATATCGTTAATATCGATATAGTTTATGTTGCATTAAAATAACGTTATTTAATTTTTCTCATCTCACTGATGATGACTGACTGTCTGCTCCTCCTCTCTCTCTTTTATTGTATTTAAGGAACATTTTTATTTTATAATATTACTTTTTAAATTCACTAACAGGTATTTTTTTTTCAATGTGTTTTCACTGTTAATAAAATACATATCCATATCGAGTATCAGCATTCAGCTAAAAACAATAATGAGATATGAGTTTTGGTCCATATCGCCCGGTCCTACTAATAAGCCTATTACCTAACACCACTAGTAGCCTAACTTTACCATTATTACTGGCAGTGTAGCTATAAATCAATTTTTTCTAGGGCCTGACCAATATGGGATTTTTGGGGCTGATATCGATATAAGGGAGGATAAACTAATTCTTTGGCCGATATCTTTCTTAGATCTACCTTTGAACTTTAGCGATAGTTGGGTATGTATTTAACACATTTGTTTCATGTTTCATGTATCATGTAATACTTATTATGACGTGTGCTGCTGCCCTCTTGGGTTGGCAGTAGCTCAGTCTGTAGGGACTTGGGTTGGGAACCGGAGGGTCGCCGGCCCATGTCCCAGTATGGACCAAGCCTGGACATTGTCCTGGCAGCTGGAGATGTGCCAGTCCACCTACTGAGCACTGCACAGCCTTGCCTGCCTTGATAGTGTTTTTCTGACATGGTCACAGGTTTTAGTTGCTGTACAGTCAAACAGACGACGCCAAGAGAGTCTTCAGTTTTGATAGCTATGATGACAATAGTGTAAGGTTAAAGACTGGAAGAGGTATTTGTGACTTGATTAATAGAGTGGTTCTTTGTCATAAATGATGGATAACTTAATATTTATATGTTTGTAACTGATGGTCTTAATATAAAACACGTTCAAAATAAGACACCTCATGTTGGTATAACTAATGGACCATACAAACGTTTATGGCTCCTCATTTGACCCTGCAGAGAGATAGTAGATTTATCTAGTCAAGAACAAGTCAAGGCAACATCCCAGGTTGTATAAACACTACACTACTGAATAAATATTGAACATAGTAAAGTACCACTACTAGAGACACTGTAGCTGGGACTCGAAGCAAATTTGCACAAGAGGGAACATTTACAATGTAATTAAAATGTATTACTGCATTACAGTGTGCACACTGCTCATGGGCTTTGGTTAATAAGACTGTTAACTGTCTTTGTTATCACAGCGTGTTCGTGGCGTCGGCCCTAAATTTAGTTAAACATTTGAGAAACTTCAGCTCAATGTGCGACTTTGACTTAAACAGCAAAACTGTGGTATGTTGAGCAAACGTTAAATATTTAGGTCACGTGATGTCTATTGTTCTTTGTCTTCAGGTTATGAGGCATGACATGTTTGACAGGTTCTCACGAGTTGAGCTCAACGAGACATAATTTAAAGATGGTATGTGGGCATTTAGATCAGAGACAATTCACCCAAACCAGCCTGTTTGTTTGCAACAAAAAAGTTTTATTTGAACTATTTACCAAACCTTTTCACAAAACTAGATTTCACTAACACAAGACTAGACTTTAATATGTCTCTTTATTTTTGTTTTCAAATGGATGCATTCCAGAGAATAAAGCATTATAGTACTTTCAAAGCAGTTTCATTTAAAGCTGAATTATATTTTTATTGATGCAGAAATAAATAGCAACAGTTTTGAAATGCAAACTATTTTGAAAGTCATATTTCAAGACAACAACCAACAGCAGAAAACTGTACTGAATATCTTTAAGTTCTGAACAACACAAGCAATCCAAAGATGTTGTCTTCGACTCTGACCTTTTGCCATGTGCTTGTATTTCATTCAGTTCATGTATTTCATGCTTGAGAATGATAGCCATGACAGTAGCTGCTGTAAACCAAAAAGAGACAGATGTTGCTTGATGAGGGATTATAATGATGTATCAATTAATTTACTAAATCAGACAATAAGCTCCCCTCAGTTGGTACCATTCAGAGCAGTTTCCTTCTCTTTCACTTTGCGGTATGGGACACTCGAAAGGTCGGCGCTGTCATTGTGTTGATAGTTGTGGTTGTAATTGTTGCAGACAATGGCCCTGTGCTAACACTGGTGCTCAAATGTTTTTCCAGATCCATCGTTGACGCGATTCATCTCTGCAGAGCTCACCAGAGGCTACTTCCTCGAACACAATGAGGCAAAATACACAGAGCGCAGAGAGAGAGTGTACACATGCATGCGGATTCCCAAGGAGCTGGAGAAGGTACAACAAAGGCCCTAAACTCACTCAGCTACACCCTTTCCTTTTCAAATCTTTCCATCTGTGTGCTGTCCTTCTCAAAAACACACATCAGACATGTTGTCAGTTTACAGCTCACAATACGTACAATAAGCTCATGAATGTTTCAGTCTGTCTTACACTGGATAATCATCCCACATGTTGTGTATTAATGCTGAACTGATTCAATTGTTTTGGTCATTTGTTGACTTTAAGATACCAAACATGTGTTGTTTAAATACAATCAGCTTGTTTGTCTCATTTAAAAGAGAATGTTTTATTTATAACCAGTAGCTTTTGATATAGAGAACAACACTAAACTATGTTATTGTTACTATTTTAAACATTAAATAATAGTTAGTTATTAAGATAAACATTAGCTGCATTATAAAACACATTCCTTAATCTGTATAATTTACTAGCAAAGTATACCCAATATAAAATCTTTTTCATTTGTCATGTGTCTTACTTTCTGCTGTATGTTTTTGTTGTTCGCCCCATGAACCGCTAGAGGGCAGTGTTGAGATATAAAATATGGGTTCCTCTAAATGTGCCCCTCTTTCTAGGACTATATCACATATTTTACCATGATACCTGGTAATAACTCTTATATCCATGTCAACATGTAGCCTGTTTAGAAAACTTATTGAAGTTGCTAAATCACAGTTATGAATGTAAATCCAACGATAAGAGTATTATAGGTATCCTGTTTGTTTGCATTTAATGTTATTGTATGGGGGGGGGGGGTATGTATTTGAGAAGACTGTCCGTCCACAAAAACACATCTGAACAAGTCAGCCCAGACTCATGTAGCTCTCACTCGCTCTTCCTCCGGGGAGAGAGAGGAATGTGTGCAAACATAAAAGACCTCAGTTAGTTCACTATGTGAAGCACACTTACCAACTTCAACTGCGCCTGACAAGGCCCCAAGAAAAGTCACACAAAATCCACCAATGAGGGATAGAGCCTCCCTCAAGCTTTTTTTTTTTTTTTTTTTTTTTAAACATCAGCATGCTTTAACGTTACCTCTTCTAAAACCTTCTTCAAATATGACATGGAAGTGTTTGAAAGTATATGGACAGCTGCTAAGGTATGTGACTGCTCTCTCGGTTTAGCCATTAGCCTTCATTTTTAAGTGTAACATGTGGCAGTAATAGCCATAAATCTGTTGTTGTTGTTGTTGTTGTTGTTTCTGTATTTGTCAGCCTCTTTCCATTCCTCTGTCTGCTGCTGACTCATGGTGGATGATATTAGGTTGTTTAAAAATGATTAGTGTGTCTGGAAATAAGATGTGTTTTGCATTAGTTATTTAGAAATAAAGATTGACTAATTGAATTAGCTGTTAAACATTTCTGATGTTTTTGTCGTTGTTTTAAACGGAGAAATGCTTCTTAACCTTCGTTCACACTGACAGCCGAGGTTTGACTTGGAGGTGTTGCTGTGTGTCTTTTCTAGCTGATGACCTTTGGCCTCTTCCTGTGTGTGGATGCCTTCCTGTACGTCTTCACCCTGCTACCCCTCAGGGTGCTGCTGGCCCTGCTCCGTCTCCTCACTCTGCCATGCTGTGGCTTCAGGTCAGAGCCTAAAAAAATTGTACAAACTCTACTTCCTATACACATAAAACACAAAAACATATGGTTATAATTGCACAGTATCACTATAGCCTCAGGTCCAAACACACACATTGTGCGCAAACATTCAATATGTGCACAATTACAGCTAAACTAATATTAACTTTTATAATGTTGAACAGAGGATTATATAATTAGCAGCATTATCATTTGTTAGACATTTCCAAGCTCAAGTATAATTATTTTTTTTGTTGAACTCTGAACTTTAGTGTGTTATGAGTTACAAACAATGTCAGGTCCGTTTTAAAGTCTTGAAAGTGTTGATTGTTGCCATGTCTCTGCACCTTTGACTGTATATATGAATTCATCATTTTTACATTAAAAGCTTTATTTAAAAAGAGTTTTGTGTGTGTGGTAGCACAGGAGTAGAAGGTGAAGACACTCATAATATTTCCTTGCTAGTTTGGATTTTTTTTTACAATGTAATGCAACAAACTTTGTCCTGTAATGTTCTTGTTTGATTACATTTTAAGGCAAGTTATAGAAAGCATTCAAGATAGAAAATCTCAATACAAAGTGTCAGTGTCTAAGAGAGAGTAATTCAATGTGCAGCCCTTTAATGAAATGCAACATGAATACAAACATGTTATAGTGTGCACATTAACACTTGTGTAAAGGTTTTGGTCAGAATAATCGTTTTTTTTTTTACAATCATGGTTTGTCTTACAGCTGTGCTACCTCACACTTTCTATTTTCCGATAATAATAATAATAAGACATTTGATTTAAAGGTTTGAACAGACGCACTTTTAAAGTAGACGATGAGCTAAATTTGCACAAAAAGCGCCATGCAGAAATGATGCTGTTTGTCTCTTCAGACATGGTCATGTATGCTTACTTCTTCTTAGCAGTACTTTTCCACATTCTGAGCTCCTGTTATATACAGCATGATAGGACGCTGATCAGCTGCAGTTAATAATACTATCTATGCGCCAGTTCAGGTGTTTGTGTATTTCATTACAAAGAGGGGGTCAGCTGTTTTCATTACCTGTATGGAGATTCTGTTAAAGGTACTCGTTAGGGCTGGGCAATATATCGAGTTTTAAGATATATCGATATATTTTCAAACAAGATATAGGGTTAGACAATATCGTTAATATCGATATAGTTTATGTTGCATTAAAATAACGTTACAGAGGGACTAGGTCACCTCTCATCTCACTGATGATGACTGACTGTCTGTCCCTCTTAACCCTGCTCCTCCTCTCTCTCTCTTTTATTGTATTTAAGGAATATTTTTATTTTATAATATTACTTGTTAAATTCACAAACAGGTAGTTTATTTTTCAATGTGTTTTCACTGTTAATGAAATACATATCCATATCGAGTATTGCCATTCAGCTAATCAATATCAAGATATGAGTTTTGGTCCATATCGCCCAGCCCTAATACCCGTCCATCACTCATTGTACGTCAGCTGTCCAACTTTGTCTCATTTAATGGTTTACCTCTAAGTAAGATGTAAAAAACATTCCTCATTGTAGCTTTTGCACAATATTTAAATATGTTTTCTTTTACAGTTGTTTCACTTTAAAAAGGCATCATTATAATTTGTAGAAAGAATGTTTTATTGTAATCGAAAGCTACAAGGTGTACTCCCCCAAGCCCTCCCCCCCCAAAAAAGGACACCTCCTGTCCTCCTGCCCATCTCACCCTCTGTTTTGACTCTTTCCTTTCCTTCCTCACCACCTGCAGGGCACGCACATGCCCCTACTGCAGAAGAAGCAGGTATGCTCCTTAAAGCCCTTTTCACAGTTATCACTGTCCTGACCTGACCTGCACATCCCTTCATCAGTTTCTCTCCATCTTCATTTTGTCCACCAATACACAGCCTGGCCCCTCAAGTCATGGTCTCCAATCTAGAGCAGCCATCTTGGTTCTTCATAAGTCTTTTTTTTCTTCATCCGGGGAAGGTTTGCTGAGAGTGCATGCTCATTCTTATCGTGGTGTTGTTTTTTGTTTTTTTTGTTAGTGTACAGCTGCACATGCTTCAACCTGAGGGCTGCCTACTGCCCAGCTCCTCTGGATCAGTCTGGGGCTCATTTTTTCTTGTTTCATGGTTCCAATGAGCAGCTTTAGAGAAAGGTGAAAACCGTTCCTACCTGCACTGAAACCCCCAGATGCTCTACAGAAGCGAAACAGCTTCTATTCTGTCAACCGCCTGCTTCTCTAACAAGCTTTTGTAATCAGAAATCAGGCCTTCTCTTCTTCTTTTCCTAGTGCGCCGACTTAATGCCTGCTCTGAAGCTAATGTATGAGTGGCACATAGTCATGGCTTCTTAAAATGCTGCATATGGCTAACTGAACTCAACAATGTGTAATCTTTACATGTGTGTTATGGAGAAGCTTGTAGAAGAGAGATAGCGAGGACTGCTTTGTGCAGGCTGCGCTACCAGCCGGCTGCAGCAGCTTTGTGCCTCCAGGGAGCCATGTGACGCACATGTTGTGGATAAGACCTGAACCACCTGAATACCAAAGCTGCTGTTTACTGGCACTCGTTTCTAAAGAAGAAGTGTGATATTGTTGATTAGAACTGGAGGACTGAATCATCTTGTTCAGTCAGAATACTGAAAGGAACCATTTATTTATTTAAGTCCATCTTATGCAAAAGATCTCATATATTCATGAGTACTTGTTTGGAGGATCGAAGGCATTTGTTAGCTTATGATTTAAATGGCACTGGCTATGTTGAGATAAACTGTTGCTTTACGTTGTCAGCTGTCACTCAGGTGTTTTTTGTACAGCTGTTTATGGAGTAGAGTCCTTGCCACTTTGTTTATTCTCTGTGTTCGTTTCAGTCTGCTGAGCAGCGTCTATATAAGAACAGAAGGGTGAACCCCGCTCACAGCTAAACAACACGCAACCCAGAGCAAAAAAAAAACAAGATCAGCCTGTTTATTTATTTATTTTTCACCTCATTTACGTGCGCTCATTTATCTCAGCTCGGTCTGAAAGTCTCTTGGGTTTAGCTGTCGTCTACAGTGCACCGTGTTAGACCGCAGGCAGAGCTGAACTACTGCACAGAGGAGAGACAGACAGACAGCGATACAAAACGAGTGAAAATAAAGCCCTGCATCTAAAAAAAAAAAAAGACAATAAGGGTAGACTACTATTTTAATATTTTCTGAGCAGATGAGTTAAAAAAACAACAAACAAAAAACCCCAGTGAAATACAGTTAATTCAGGTTACTTTGGGAAAAGCTGCAGCAAAGCAACAAACACTCAAGGGTTCAACAGAAAATACCCCTGAGACAACAAACAACCCAGAAAGATTAAAGCAAGAGTTTGTTTATTACACTTTATTATTTGGTGATAAAAAACAAGAGTATAGATACGTTGAGAAATGGCTTGCATGCAGAAAACGATTTTCTCAATGCATTGCAAAGCGACTCTGTTGTCAAGAATAATCCTTAGAATGGTTTTAATAGTGGTCATGTATTTGAACTGTGCACTGTGATGCTGTAAGAAAAATTATTCTTGGATCAACGGTCTCCTCAAATATTCAACATGGAATGACTCAACAGTAAATTGTGGGTGGAAAAAACTTAAAATCTCTCACTTCTTCTATCCTCTCACTCTTCTACAGAAAACACAAACCTCAAAGTTTTCTTCTTAATATTTGAGCCATGCCTCTTTCACATGTCTGACCACTGGATGGAGCTGTAGTACCACAGAAAAAAAACAGGACATTTTCACTCTGAGGATAATATAATAGGGCTAATAATATGTATAGTTAGGAAGGAAAGCAGTGAAGGTAAATGTATTGTATGATAGCTCACCTTAGTGTAATACATGTAAATGTGAACCATATTGTACACTCATTGTGTTCTTTGGTATTTAATGCCTTTGGGGAAAAAAAGGATCCAGATGTTCCTCCCATCTTGTTCCCTTCACAGCTGAGCTGCACACAGGCTCTTAAGACTGTGAGATACAATACTACATCTACTACATACAGCTGATTGAGCTAATTTACACATCTTCCCAAGGTTGTGTTTTTTTTTACATCTAAGTTCAGCAGCTCGCTCTGTAAACAGTTAAGATACCTACAAATCCCCCATCCCCCACCCCCACTGATTCATGATTTCACTCCTGTGTTAACATAGTGAGAGCGGAGGAGTAGCCCTGTTGTTAAGATGTAAGCCTTACCACCAGCTGCTTATATTAAAGGTAATGATGGGTGTTAGAGTAGCTCATTGTCCTGCTGTTTAGAGCACTAGTGAGTCTGTGTAGTATTTGTTCCTGTGGTTTATAGTGATTAGTAATAATAAGACTAATGGATGTTATTGAGAGGGATTGTGTTGCTCTATTTTTCAGATAGATCTTGTAGTTTATGTGTTTTATAAAGTATACATATTGAAGACTGGTTTCATGGTCAGTCAGAGCTCATGTTGGGAGAAGAGGAATCATACTCTCCCTCTTGTAGTTTGTGGTGCTTGCCATGCAGACACACAGTATAGAGCAGCCACATAGCTGACATGTGGAATATGCAGGACATCTTAAGAGTTAAGCCCTCTCTGGCTCTCCCCGGTTATCCCTGTCATAGTAAATAAGGGGTCCTATGGATTTGTCAGCCCTTCTCTTAACATGCTCCGACCATTGCTGTTAATTATGAAAGCTGCACACGTACCAAACATGTGAACACCCATTAAACATGATCTGGCAAGTTTGCATGTTCACCCGCTTTTGTTCCATTTAACATATTGGTCTAAAATGCTGCACCAAGTTTGACTTATTCTAAAAAAAGATAGATGCTTTTACACGGGTGCACTTCTTCCTTTTTCTATTTTCTGTTTGGTAGATAAGAAGAACCCAGATTTAATCATGTTGGGGCTGAAGCACAGGACAAAACAGCGTTATATTAAAAGTAGATAAATCTTGTGAATGAGGCACCTTTTGGTATCAAGGAGATCCTAACTTTAATATTAAAATGTGAGCTTGTATGTTGTTAAGACTTGGTGCCTTTTTCATTTTTGGATATCTTTTATTTTGAATGGAAATGATTTCTTCACCGTCTCTGTGTTGTCCTAGAAGAAGACGTGGTTATTCAGAGCGTCTTTAACCAGCTGTAGAGCATCAGTGATGATAAAAGTGGAACTTTTTTGTGTTCCTGCTGTCACTCATTTCAGTATGTTTTTGTCTATCAGCATATACCTATGTATGTCGTGTCTGGGTACAAACACATTACACCGTTCACTCAGTCACTATAATGAGGTTATGTGTGCATGTGAAGCATATTCACTGCTTAAGAATATACTGCATTTTCCCAGCATGAAAATTGTGTGATCAGTGTTTCAGAAGCCTCTTAAATGTGTGACTGTTTTTTTTAATTTTTTTTTACATTCAACATAGAAAGATGAACTCAAAGTATCTTTGTGTTTTTGTGTGTGTGGTCAGCGGGTCGCGGCTGCTGCAGCCGGCGCAGGTGTGTGACATGCTGAAGGGCCTGATCCTGGTGCTGTGCTTCTCCATGATGCATTATGTGGACTACTCCATGATGTACCACTTGATCAGAGGACAGTCGGTCATCAAACTCTACATCATCTACAACATGTTGGAGGTAAGTCACATTCATACACTCACACCTGGTGCTGTAGAATGACAGTTTATGTGTGTTCAGAAGGTATGACGTGTGTCCAACAGACAAACAGGTCGTTAAATGAGAAGCCAGACGTAGAACGCCATTTTAAATAAATACTGAATGTCTTTAATGAATAAAGAACATCTCAAGTAGCTTTTGGTTGACCAAAAACAACTTTTTGTTTTAACAGATTGAGGTTCACTACATGCAAGACTGTATTTGATGGAGTTTGGATGGTCTCGTATTTGACATAATGAAGTGAAGAAAGCGGATTTTAACTAAGTAGACAGCTTGCATTAAATTTAAACAAATGGTTTTTATCTCGAAAGACAAAATAAAAAGTTGGCATCATTAAAACTGATGCTGAAAAACAACCAAAAAAATAAAAGAAACAATAGCAATAAGAAGAAGAAGATGCATTCGTGTAGTAAGCATAATGATGGAAGTTTCAATGAATTATTAGTAATTCAGGATCTTATCTGTCATTTCTCTGTTAGGTGGCTGACCGCCTCTTCTCCTCGTTTGGTCAAGACATCTTGGATGCTCTCTACTGGACGGCCACAGAGCCCAAAGAACGCAAAAGAGACAGCATAGGAGTCATCCCTCACTTCATCATGGCCGTTTTTTACGTCTGTATCCTTCTGGTTCATCAGGAATATGGCTGTAGAGGTTATTTTTGTGTTGACAAATAGTGTCCCTTGTCTTATTTCCCAGTGATATATTTGACAGATGACATGTAGTCACACTCAGAAAAAGCCCATAACTTACTTCTTCTCTGTAAGACTGGAGCTCTCTGTCACCATTGGTGAAGAAAAGTGAAGACTTTTAGGGTTCAAGACTTTGCTGCTATTAACCAGAATGAGATCTGTTTTGGATTTTCTATCAACAAGATGGACAGAAACACAAAAAGCTAAAGTGTATTCATTTTTCATCTAATTTAGCTTCTCTAAAGTACATGACCTTCAGTGAAGAATGTTTTATTAGAGTTGTTATGAAGTGGTGCTCAGTGCTAAAAGCTTTTATTAATCAGTTCTTCTCCTGAGTGGCTGTTTCTCAGTCCTCCATTCCATCCTCATTATGGTCCAAGCCTCCACCCTCAACGTCGCCTTCAACTCACACAACAAGTCCCTGCTCACCATCATGTTGTCCAACAATGTAAGTACACACACACTCGCACACACATGCACACACACACACACACATGCAAATTGTTCAAGCTGCTTCTACGGAGACCCTGAAGTTCCAAAAGTAAAAAACAAAATCGCAAAAAATGTACATATTGTGCTACACACTAGATATTATGTTGTTGGCCCAAGTTCATATATTTATGCACAAGTCAATATTTTGTGTGGGCAGAATATAGTTTTTTATGTTACTACAGGGGCTCTGTGGGCTTCAGTTCTTTCTGCAAATAAAACACATGCTCACAAATGACACTTCACTTATATCATTTGTGTGCAGATGTATGACAGTCACTTTGCACTTGGCATGTTGCTGATGAAATGTTACCGCTGCAGCTGCAACAAGCTTGTTGCTGTTGTATTTTCTGGATCATAAATTCTGCTAATTGCATTTCTCCCTCTGTCTTCCTGTTCTCTAAAACAGTTTGTCGAGATCAAAGGAAGTGTTTTCAAGAAATTTGGGAAGAACAACTTATTCCAAATGTCGAACAGTGGTAAGATATTCAAAGTCAAATCAGAAATAGCACATGCATGTGTCATTTATAAATTGATAGATAATAATGTAGAGTAGTGGAAAGAGCAAGAGGGACAAAAACATACCTACATTTACAAAAAGATCTGTTCACATGGCACCTTTAATGGTTTCCTATTTGCTTTAATGTCAGGCTGCACAGAATGAAATTTACAAAATGAAAGGGTGTATGAATATTCATGGTCACTGAGTGTCCCACAGACCCAAACATCTGTGATCATCGTTTCATGCACAAGCTCGTTAACTTCTTCTCTGCTGCAAAAAGAGAAAACTGTTTGAACACCTTCTTTTCTGGGTCCTTTTAAATCAAATCTTGTGGTTTTGAAAGCTGCAATGGAAGTTGGTTTGTCAATTTGCCTTGTGACAAAATATTTGACATTTGAAACAAAAGAAAGACAGGCTGCAAATCCTGAAGCTGGAACCAACAGATTGTAGCTGATCTGACATCACATTGTTTTTAAGAAAAGTTACATCTTCATGTTTTAAATCACTACTTTTGACTTAAGCATATCATAAAGATGAAACACAAGCTCTTCTGAATCTCCGTTGGATAGATGTATGACTGACATCTAATCACTATGACTGATTTTCAAAACAATGCTGAGCATCAAACATGGGAAAAGCATTCAACACAACGGTTGCGCATATTCATATACTGTACGAGTGTATCTATTTGTCATTCTGAAATGCAGAGATATTAAATGCATTGTTCATGTTCCCTTTGATTCCCTGACGCTGTAGGTTTGATCTCTGTCACACTCATTGTGCTGTAATGACAGCAGAAGAGAATAAGCCTTAATCAGCTGCCATTTCCCTCCCACTGCTCACTCACGTCTTAGAAGATTTCCTGTTTAAGGAGCTGAGCAAGGCTCCAAGCTAGCAGCACAGATGATTACGTGCTAAACATTTACAGCTGCGTCTTTAAATTATAGTAGATGGATGTGTATAGCATGCAATAGTAGGGTAAGACTAAATGTCAGTTTAACAACGCTGCTTTGATGTATGAGAAGTGCTCAAAGCACCTCTGACAGCAAAGCAGGATAACTGACAGGTCTGACTCATTTCAACTCTTCTTTAACACCACCTGCTTAAACACATAACTATTGTGAAAGGGAACCAAGTGTGGGTGAGAGTTTCTGCAGACGTGTCTGGAATGTTAATGCTTCTTATCTACGTTGTTTTTCCCAGAGTTGAGAGATTGAAATCACAAAAATGTCGATTTGACCCTGCAGATATCAAGGAGCGGTTCACCAGCTACGTTCTCCTGCTCATCGTATGTCTCAGGAATATGGAGCAGTTTCTTTGGAAGCCAGGTAATTATCTGTTTTTTTTATATTAAAGTAAATGCAAACAAACAGCATGTACTCCCAGGTTTGTTCCCCATTGTTTGGCTTCTTTTTTTTACTGTCAGTACTCTTGATAGACATTTTCCCTCAAAACATGCTGACTCTCTTGACCCGCTGCGCTACCTTGGGAATCTTCCCCCTCACAAACCTGCCACAGAGCAGACGTGAAGAATGAAAACGGGGCGTTTCTGTGTGACAGCCCTCTGAAAACAGTCATCTCTTCCTGCCAGTCTCAGAGCCACACACACAGTAGATGACAGACGTGTCCTGTCAGCTGAAATCATAATAGTGATGTGCTAATTCTAGCAGAGTTACAGCCTGCTGTTGCTAAAGAGGTAAACCAATCACAAGTCCCCAGTAATTTCCTTATCTCTCATGCTGCATTTTCACTTCTTTATTTAGCCAAAACATTGGCTAAACAGGAAGTTAAAAGGATGTCCACACAAAAAAAGCCATGAATAAGCATCACTCGTCTGTGTTTTGCTGCTTTCATGGCTACTGCTCTGAATAGTGCATATTGTTGCTGAGAGATTTAGACATACAAGCATTTCCAGTTTGTAGACTTGAGAAGAGGCTGATACCAAAAACACTCTGATACTATTGTGATTATAAAATATTTATACTACGGTTGGAAGAACCCTGATGGCTAAAATGTATGTTGTTTGGATCAACAGTATCTTTTCACACTTATTTTGTTGTCATATGATAATTTACTTGATGCCAGCTGATTTTGGGGGAAAAGAAAATGCCATTGTTTCCTTGTTTTTGCCCTCAGACCACATGTGGGTGATGTTCCCTGATGTCTTCATGGTCATTTCCTCTGAAATTCTCGTGGACATCATCAAACACGCTTTCATCACCAAGTTCAACGACATCACCGCGGATGTAAGAATAAAACCCAATATTTAATCGTTCTTAAATAGCTCTATTCACCAACTAACGACTTGTCATATGTGTGTCTGCTCTCAACGGTTTTACCCGTCTCTCTTCCAGGTGTACAGTGAATACCGAGCTAGTTTGGCCTTCGATCTCGTCAGCAGTCGACAGAAGAATGTAAGCTGTGTCTCTCTTTTCACAATAATGTTATTATACTTTCATGAACAGCGTTAAGCCTACACAGCTAATCAATGCTGTATTGTGGAGAGCTGTAATCTGCTTGTTTCTCACTGTGTAGGCTTGTACTGACTACAGTGACTCAGTGGCTCGGAGGATGGGCTTCATCCCTCTGCCTTTGGCTGCGCTGGTAAGAGACATTTAGACATTACATACCAGCAGAATGTTTGTGAATGGCACATTCATGTTTGCCGGATGTTTCTACAAAATCTAATCTTAATGCATTAAGATGAGAGCTGCTGCTGCCTGATGGTTCTCACCATTGTCTAAATTCATGTATTTTATCATGTATTCTGCTTTCTAATGTTGTACAGCTCATCCGAGTGGTTATGAGTTCTGTGAAGGTGCAGGGGGCTCTTTCATACACGTGTGTGTTCCTCTTTTATCTCGGGTAAGTCCGCTGGAGTTAAACAGTTTTCTTTGATGTTACTGTTATTATTATTATCGGAGTGTATTGAACATGCCCTGTACTGATTGAAAATCAAAGCAGCTTTAAAGTCTTATAAAGCTGTACTTACACTGAACATGACATTTTAATATGACGTGTGTTTCATAAATTGTACTCTAAAAATCTAGCTCAAGAAGAAGAGATTTAAAGCTAAAACTGATGATATTTCACATGTTTAAACATGCAGACTAACCTGCTGATAAAGCATGTTGTCGAAACTGTCTATATTTTATTATTTATTTCATCATGTATTTGCATGTTATTGTTTACATTGTTTGGGTCAAACATGCACAGTGACTCTCACACAATCTTTGATGCTCTACTTATGAACATGCTTGCAGGGTTTATTGAATGCACACTTACACATGCAGGAACTGTCATAAACACACACGCAGATTCAGACACACACACACACACACACACACACACACACACACACACAGTTACATAAGCATTAACACTGTGCCCTCACATTCTCCCTGCGCTGAGCTGCTGATAGCCTCGCTCCTTGTCTTTCGCCTGATCCCATTGGACTCGTACCATTGAAGAGTTTCCCTCGGGGTGAAGAATACAATGTTGTCATCTCTAGTGCCATCTCTGGCCTTCCCCACCCCCTGGTTTAAAAATAGCTCTGCCTCACACAGGCCACTGCGCCTTGACGAAGACTCAGCTGCACTGAGTCTCTCGGTACGAAATGTCCTGTCATGGCGAGCAGTGGTCCACAGACCCAAATGTGTCCATCTTTGTCTCGTCACGGTGGCAGAGGCCGACCTAAAAGCAGAGCCCCAGAAACGCAGAAGGATGGTGCACATCAACATCCCGGTGTCAGTGGTGGGATGTGAACACTGGCGATCGAAACCAGATGGTAGAAGAGATTCATTATAGCTGCAGCCCGGCTCAAGACAGCACTGTGTTAACACTGCTGCACATCACTATGCAGGACAAATGGCTGCTCAGTTATGACTTAAATCATAATCCTTGTTATTTTTTTTAAATAAAAATATAATAGACCAACTTGCCCCCTGAAAAAACATTTCCATGTATTTTAGAAATGTGAAATGTTTTTACATTGTCAGTTGCTGATATTCAGTGTAATCAACCCATGAGAGAGAAATTGAATTTGTGTTTATTCATCCAGCTGAGTTCATTTTTAGAGAAAAGGATTGTAGGTTTTAGTTTTTTGTTTTCTTTTTACATTTATTTTTGGGCTTTGTATGTCTTTTATTTAGAGATAGGACAGTGGATAGGGTCATACATTGTAGAGAGAGAGGGGGAGGGAATGACATGCAGGAAAGAAGCCACAAGTCGGAATCGAACCCGGGCCGAATGCTTGAAGAATATAGCCTCCGTACATGGGGCATGCGCACTAACCACTAGGCTACCTGTGCCCTAAAAATTGTATTTTTCTGATGAAAGAAAACATTTCTTCACGTCCGATGTGCACAGCTCTAAACTTCAGCCTTCTCCCTCCGCAGGCTGGTCTCCCTTAAAGTGCTGAACAGTATCGTGCTGCTGGGGAAGTCGTGCATCTACGTCAAGAGGGCCAACATGGAGGACAAACTGTTTGAGAAGCCCACAGCCACTCCCTCCTCCTCTGAGAAAGGCCCCAACCAAGCTGAGGACAGATGTCCAACACCTTCAGGTAAACGCAAACACACCTTTTTTTCCCCGTTCCTTCCCCCAGCGTAAAACATAATGAATGTTCTTTTTTTTAAAGTCAGAGGGTTTATGTTTACACACAGATTATAGATGTGTTGTTTTTTGCCAAAAGGCTCAGAAAACATTGTTGTTCATCTACGTATTTGGACTTGCTAACAAATGAAATGAATCCAAACAGATTGTGGATCATCTGTGATCTGTTTCAACACTACAATATGTTATCAAATAAAAAATAAACATGAAATACTCTACAGGAATTTCAATCATAAGGAGTAACTACACACACACTGTATCGATAACAGAAGGCTCCCCATGTTGTGTACTTGTGCTTGTGCATGAAGTGTACCTTGCCAAATCACACCCCTTCCAGGGCCAAGGAAGTGTACTGTGCTCGAGCATGGATCGGAGCACTAACACTAGACTTTAGAAATGTTACTGTGTGTGCTCACATAGCTTCATGAACAATTCTGAGAGTTTGTAGGAACCCTCAGCTGGAGGTCATTATGCAGCGTGAACACAGCAGTTTGAGTTTGAATCTGAATCCAGAAAAAAAAATATGTAAAAATCTGCAGCTGCCGAGTGAGCAGCAACCGAACACATCGTAAACTAGTTTATTAGGAATTTCACAAAAGCTTGTAATCACAGAGCATGGGCTTGGAATATTTAACTCATGTAACATTTTAGAGACATAAAAAGTGTTGGGACCTGAGAGAAGATTATTTTAGTTCTTAAGGAGATATATGGAGTAAATGAGATGTCCTGGGATTTCTTCTTATGAATAATGCTGCATGTTGCTGTCTGCCTCCTACTCACTCACTCACTCGCTGAACCCTCCTGTCTCTCTGCACTTTGATATACTGTACTAATAAAACAGAAGTGTCTCACAATGTTCCTTAAAAACACACAGAGGAAACAAGGCACTGCTGTAGTATATCTGATTTTAAGATTTATAATAGTCGTTAATGTCTGATTTAAATTCTGCTGATAATGTTTCCAAACACTGTGTTGGTCCTATGTATGTAACACCAGGCTTATTAAACTTAATAAACATTTAGCTGACACTCGCATGCAGACAGACAGGTCAGCAGGTGGCAGCTCAGTGTCCAGCTTCAGACTGCTGATGGACACATTCAGTCTGTTTATTCACCTGGTGTTGCATTATTCAGAGAAACAAAATCCTGACTGGAACATTATGTCATTAGTTAGTTATTGTAAATAGTAATGGAGAACACCTAGTGTTTAAAATGGGTACTGCAGTCCAAATTCAATTCAATTAAACACTTTAATTCTGCCCCCTCATCTCTATTGTTGATATGCACACAATGCCATGTGGTGGACTCTGAAGCTTCAGTGTTTATCCAGCTCTGCATGGGTCTGTAAACCTTTCTGTGTTCTAACCTCTCTCCATTTTTCAAAAGCATCTCCAATATTGATCCTAGTTTGAGCACGTTTCTGCTCGTGGAGCTTATTAGAAACATGCAGAGGCTTTTTAGGTCGGGTACACTCACTTCTATCTGAACCACTTCTCTTACCTGCTTCCATCGCTGCAACACCTGAAAAGAAAACTGTACACTTTTCTCTCAATTGTGGAGCTAATTCCATTTTTAGTGACCGATTTACAGTATGTATGCTCTAATTGTTTTGATCTGATCATAAATGTGACAGTACATGATGGTGATGCTGCAGGTATAGCATGTGACACTTTGAAGTTTGACCTTTCACTGTTGCACTTCCCTCAAGGCAATAAGTTCAGAACATATCATGTCTCCACTATTATATCATTAGTACATAGGTTTAATGTTAATGGGAGAAGAGACTTTTTATTAAAGATAGTTGTAGCTCTAAAATAACTCCTGTTAGCTTGTGAGTTAGTTAGCCCTTCATTGAAATACATGCAGGCCTCTTGTGATGCTCCTGATCACTAATAACATTTCAAGTTCATTTGAAACCGTTTTCTAACTGTCATAGCCTTCTAACCTAAATTCTCATTCGTAATAAAAACCATGACACCATCTATTAGACTTCAGATGCATTTGTATTTTGGAAGCCAACATGTATGACTTGACATCTAAAATAATAAACAGCAAACACCCCCTCAGTCCATCATTCAAATATCAACATATGAATGCATTCATTAACATTCATGTAAATATCCGGACAAAGTGTTAAACAGGCCCTCTATTTGAGGCACACAGACAATAAAACACAGATCTGGAGGAGGCAGTATCTCCCTGTCATCCGCAGCCAAATCCCTGCAGATCTCTCTTCTGCCGCGCGCCTCAGACCCGCCTGCCGCGCTGAGCCTGGAGCTTTAAAACGACAAAGATCCTGATGGTGCATCGTGTCATATCAAACATCAAAGCTCCTGCCAGCGCTTGTGTCTCAAACAAATCGGGTTTCTCAGAAAGCGGCAGACACACACGGCTTAAGGGCGCCCATGCTCCAGCATATAGAGTATAATACTTAGAGAGTGGGAATTAATGCGAGTCTTCTGCTCTCCACACGTTCAGGAGCTGGGATTTTAACCGGCAACCTCACATCCCGCACTCGCTGTTCTAACATTCAAATGCCCCGGTCTGTGCCTCGAGCTGCACCTGCTGCGCCGGTGGATTCCCTGCACCGTGAAGTTCATCGGCACGTCTTTGTCTTTACGATGATCTGTATTCACGTTGCACTGGCTGTGCCATCTGCTATTGTCCAGAGGGCAGAAACGGGTAATGAGGGCTTTCGCATCAGCCACTGCAGGCTCCATATGGTGGTTAACTTTTATCAAAGCTCACATTTCTAGCAGAGAAAAACTGAAAAGACCCTGTGTGTGTGTGTGTGTGTGTGTGTGTGTGTGTGTGTGTGTGTGTGTGTGTGTGTGTGTGTGTGTGTGTGTGTGTGTGTGTGTGTGTGTGTGTGTGTGTGTGTGTGTGTGTGTGTGTGTGTGTGTGTGTGTGTGTGTGTGTGTGTGTGTGTGTGTGTGTGTGTGTGTGTGTGTGTGTGGTATCTGACTAGAATAATATTTCTCCCATATCTTTTGTTATGCCTACCCCTAAGGATGAAGTGTATTTACACATGTTAATGAAGCAGACAGGAGTGCAATTACAAGAGGAAAAAACCTGGTGAAAAGGACTACTGCTGACGTTATCACTGCTAGCTTGATTTCTCTTTGCGACTTGACGGAGGCCAAACGAGCATATTCAGTTTTTACATATTTAACAGATTACAACAAAAACCTGATTTCATAATGAAGAGAGAAAACATTTCCATCCACCACATATTTGTGATGAAACGCTGGTATAGAGGTATACAGTATCGTTAGTGTATGATTGACACCCAGTGATGATGAATTCATTGTGTGTGTACATGAACATACATCTTTACTCATATATTAGTACATTATGCACATCATGTTTAAAGGCTGTCTATGTGATTTTTTTGATCCAGCAGATGTCGCCCTTGAGCACCAGCATGAAACCAAAACAACTCGCGCTGCATTGTTGTGTTAGCATGCTAATGCTAGGGATCTTTATTATGCTGGTATCTTCACACTGCATGTAAATTGACCTGAAATGAGCGTGATCTAGAAACACAGTTAAGCAGTGAGTACAGTATGTTGTTCTTCTTTTCTCTAGTCCCTCAATTAAACAACTTTTATACACGAGGGGAGGAGTCAGCCGGCCGTCCGGGCGATGTAAACAAAGTGAAGATAGGACTCTGAAAGCATCACAGACAGTGGGACTCGGGTGTTACACCCATTGTAGACAGTCATGACTCACAGAGTTATTTTCAGAGGAGATACTTGATTTCTATTATATTTAAGTGTGATAAATCTCCTATAAAGACTTTAAGCTCAGTGAATCTATGTACAGTGTCCGGTCTCATACAGGAAGTAAAGGCTTGTTTATTGTGCATGCATCTTTTTCTCCAAAGTTCAAGTTTGTGACGGCCTTTGAGCACCTGCGACCTCCACAGGTTCTTCCTCATGTCTGTTTCCTCGCTGTCTAAATGATTCTGAGTGTTTCCATCAGGCAGTGGAAAGCTTCACAGTTTGATGATAACTCATTACAAGCAATGCCTTTCACACCATACATAATGTAGAAACACTTTGAATAGATAGATAGATACTTTATTGATCCCGAGGGAAATTCAAAACAGCACTACCAACTGCTCATCCCGCAATTGAATGCAGTGATGGTCCTGTGACTTGACACAGTGAGAAAGTACTCAGCTGAACGTTCGTCCATCAGGTTGATAACCTGCTCTCTCTCTCTCTCTCTCTCTCTCTCTCTCTCTCTCTCTCTGTCTCTCTCTCTCTCTCTGCCATGAGCTTTGACAAAGTCATGACGAGAATGTGTGATCTGAAAAAGTGAAACTTCATTGTCTGATCGTGGAATCAAAGTTAAACTAAAGAAAAAGAAGAAATAATGGGTAAAGATGTTTTGAACTTGTTTATTTATTGACTATCAACAGCCTGCCTTATTATAAATTCCTCTCTGATTCGCTGCTGAATTATTCATGCAGAACCCGAGGTAATCTAGCTCCACAACCTGACAGTTTCTAATATGAGTTGGCTTCAAATGTCTGTTTCCATTGGCCTGTTTCATACTTCTTAAAGCCTCTCTGTCTATACTGTATGCTCAGCGGGTTGCGGTGGTTCGATACAGTGTTGGTTCAGCTCTGTCTACTGTAAGAATAAAAGTTTTTTCAGTAGCCTCAGGCTGTGCTCGTCTCTTGAGGACACTCTTGTTAATATGATGAATTATTCCTTTTGGTTACACACACACTGCACTCGACGTTTAAAGAGGCCGTGCAGTGTTTTAACATAATGTGATGGAGTTTGCAGTAGAAACCATCCGTGCAGCTTTCTTCTGTGGCCACATCTTATTATTCTGCCTCTGTGCTGAGCAGTCAGGTGGGTGTATACGTTGGCTGACTTGTGAATCCGGCAGGTTGAATCACTCCCCGTCACTCAGGTCAGAACATCTTCGCCTCGTGTGTTACAGGCTGAGAAATCGATGCTCCAGGTCTGCACATCTCCCTCCCCCATGTTTTATTTTCCTCCTTTTACTTTCTCCACATTATACAAGAGGAGTCTCGTCTTGTGTTTTCCTGACACTACTGTGTGTCCCCTTTTCAAATAGATCATTCGTTAAATACATTAAAACAACAGGACATACTTTAGGATGTGAGGTTTGATACCACTGTGATGTCAATGTGCTAAGAGGACATTAGCTTAGCATTCGCATTGAGAGTGGAGACAGGAGGAAACAACTAAGCTAACTGCCTCTAGTTTCCAGCTCCACAGAGATCAAAATGATATCAGTCTTACTTTTTAAAGCCTCCCAAGAAACATTTACAAACTTAAGATTTTTCGGTTGACCATCTCGTCTGAACACAACAGCTCTGCTTCTGTTTTTTTTAAACAACTCAGGAGTGTAACTCCGGTTTTACTTGGGCTATATGTTCGTACATGTAACTATTTTTATGCTTCTAGTCTGGGCACTAAAGAGAACGTGTTGGGCTCTGAGTGCTGGCTAACACAGTTGACCTACACTCAGCTCTGTGCCTGAACGCCTCATTTGTTGTGGAAACATTTAGTAAATTATCAACAGTGACCATTACGTAGGCGGAGCAACATAAGCTTATTTGTTTGTCATGAAATATGTTTTTCTCTGTTCCCTTACAGGAGAATCCAAAGATGAGGAGATCCCCACCCCACTCAGCAGACCACCGTACCCCTCCTGCTCTGTGACCACCCAGCCCACTCCCAGGACTGACTTATTTCCTCCCCCGCCCACTGACTCCTCTTCTGGTGCTACAGCTTGCAGACCTCGTACACCCCCACCTGAACCTGAACAAAGTGCAACATCACTCTCCAAAGAAGAGGAGGAGGAGGAGGGGGAGGTGAAAGGAGACTCAGAGCTGAAGCACAGGACTCCCAAAAAAGATCTGTTGGAGATCGACCGTTTCACAATCTGTGGTAACCGCATCGACTGAGCCGCTGCTGATGTAGCGATTAACCACTCAGGAAAGACGGAGAGCAAAAGGGCCGTTCAGGTTTGTTCTCCTCGCCGACAGCAGCAGAAAGCTGAGTATTTATTAAAGCCAGTGGCAGCACAGTAAGTTATTGTGAACACAGGGGCTTGGTGTCAGACGATCCTGCTGCTGCTGAAGACTGAAGTCAAGAAGTTTCACAAAGAAAACTTCAGCTGGCTGACAGAAAGTGAGACTGTGGCAGCCCAGTCGTCAGGGATGAACTGTGTGTGTGTGTGTGTGTGTGTGTGTGTGTGTGTGGATGGTTCAGAGTGTGCAGGTGTGAATATGTATGTGTGTGTGTGTGTGTGTTAAAAGTGTGGGTGTGAGAGCACGTAAGCACTTCCCCGTCAGAGCAGCACTGGGACCAGAAGGAGAGAAACTTCTCAGTTAAACTTATCAGCCAGAAGACAGAGAAACTTCCAAAACCCACAAATTAAAGGAAACACCTGAATTATGAGACTTCATGAAGGTTGTTCATCTGTATTTTTGAACATGTCATCCAACATATCTGCACAGTTTGCAAGAAATGTGAGCCTGTTTTTACCGCTCAGGCTTTATGATCCGACCCTCGGGCTATACCTACACAACAACACATTCAGATTCTGGGTTTAAGCTCAGAAGTGAAAGGCGTCTAAAAGGTTCCTTTAATAAGAGATTTCCAGCCAGTGGTTCCCAACCTGAGGGTCATGACCCACACAAGGTCTAGAAAAGTTGTCTTGAGAATTGCTGCATATTTTTTTAGCTTTCATGTGTCTGAGTTACTCAAAGTAACTTTAAGTAGTCATGGACTTCAACACTGGTGAAGAGGGCTCAACAAGTAGACATCAGTTTGTTTAAAAAGGTCCAGAAGAGGCTTCACCTGCTCAGTTCAGAAGTCTAAACCTCAGTGAGAATTTAAGTGATGCATCTTTACACTTAACATCTTTTAATGGTATATAAATATGACTTTTAATAAGAGCTTTATGTAGACAGAGCTTCTCCGTTTACTCAGCTAACAGATGCATTTATGTGTATGCTGCAGTCCGCCCCAGCACATGAAGGATCTTTCATGAAAGAACCCTTTTGTGCCGGACATTAACAAATGTGAAAAGCAGTCGACACTAAATCTTCTGCCTCTTCGAGCTGCTTACGTTTTTCAGAGGTCTACTGAAAAAAGAAATGTGGGAAACAAACAAGTCAAATAAATACAAAAAAACCCGCTAAAAATACTGAAAGATAACTTAATTGTTCTTCTTTCTTAGGGTACATTCTTTCAATCCTCAGTCATGATCTCTTCATCACTTTACATTAACCTTCACAACGTACCTGAGCCGCTTTTATCAGAAACACGTGTTTGATTTGTCCTTCATGTTTGGAGAATGTTTGCACTGACGGGCCGTGATGTCTTAAGTTTGTCGGGTCATAAAAAATAATTGTTCTAATGTTTACATCGTAGAAAATAGAAGCAATACTTCCACAACAAAATGCCTTTTTGCATGCTTGTTTACAATTTGTTGATTTAGACTTTACAGACATTGCAAAGAAAAATAAATAAATCTATGAATAGATTATTTAACAGATCAGTTATATCATCGACCTCTCATTTGTCAGCCATATATTTAATAGAGTGTAAGTTATATATCAAATGGTCTAACCCTGATATTATACCAGAGTTTTATAATTCTGCAGCCATGCCAAATATTTATTTTATCTCTGATGACTTTTGTAATGTGATCTGAATCAAAGGAGTGTGTGTTTGTAGCATGAAGTGGTTCCTGCCATATTTACAAGTCTCTGCTGCAGGAACCGTTCAGTGCTGCAACATGGATAGTTAAATCAGAATTATACGCACAAAAATGTTTTTAATACGTCTGCTTGAGTTCAGGTTCATTATCTCTGCTGCACTCTTAATTTATTTTTGAATCAAAAAGGTCGTGTGAATTCAACAGTCCTACATGTTGAAACAATAATTTATTTAAAGATGCTTCTGCAGAAACTTCCACAAGGTGAAGAGAATCCTCATTTTTCCTTACGCAGAAGTTTATGATGTTTATAATAAAAACACATATCAGCTTTTTATTTGATTCTGATTTTGTTCATTACCGTTGTAATAAGGACGTTGGTTCTGTTTTTGGAGCTGCCACTTGGGATGTGATTTTTTTTGCTGCGCATGAAGTCTGTGACTCTCCTCAGTCCCTTCTTGTGGTTTTGTGAAATGTCTCGTCTCCACTGGCCTGAGCTCGGTCTCGTTGCGGTTCAAAAAGAGCCTTTCAGAACCACAACCGGACCCATCTGAGCTCGTCTGAGCTAACAGAGACGAGGCAGAAGCGTTGTTCTGAGGAGTGCGATGGTCCAGTACACTGCCTGCTTTGTTTCAGTTTGGTTTTCTTTTTTTTAATTCCTACCTCGATTATTGTATTAATATGCCCCTTTTGGATCAATAAAAGTTTGTTTCTTAACTTTGTTGTTTAATTGCTGCAGAATCATTGTCCTGATCTAAGAGTTTCTGTGAAGATGCCGCGCATTTCTCTATTCTCCCTGTTCCAGTGTTGCTGGATTGACTCATATAGAGACTTCCCGTTGTCCCAGTCAGCTTCCTGATTCGGGGTCACGATGAGACAAACTTCCTACAGACCTGAAACTATGACGAAAGGTTCACTCAGCTGCAGAGTAAGTAAGTTAAATCCACTTCCCCATCTGCTCAGAGTAAGTCTTTTGACTTGTTTGGATCCTCTTCATGAAGGTTTTGTTCACAATTAGGAAAAAAATGTACGCATAATTAAAATACCTCATCAAATTGAGTGATTTTGAACTATTAGCAGAGAACTATGAAATTGTATTTATTATCCCATATCCACCCTTATCAAAAGCAAAATATATATTATTTTTATCCATAGCAAAAGTATCAGTGGAACAGATTTCTGTGCTGTGCAATTTTGTTTATGCATAACATCTGAAAGTGTTAAACCTTTTGATAAACTAAAAGTTAAACAATGTGAAATCTGATGCTTTCATACAGCATGTATTTTGATGTCCCATGTGTTATATCAACAGATTACATGATAAAGCCAAGCTGAAACCTCTGGTGTGGTTTAAGGAAGCTAATGTGAAAATGCAAAATAACTGCAGTTCCTCGACTGTCCACTTGAGGCAATTGAACATTTTTACAGCCTCGTTTAAAAAAATGATTTCGGTTTTAAAAGTTCATTTCTTGATCGGCACCAATTGTACATTGCATATTTTTTTTTACAACTCATCTGTTTTAATTATATGAAGGATACGAGATATTCATAAAAAGGGGCGTGGCTAATTGATGGGTTGGCTGTTTGTCAGGAGGCTTAGACCCCCCCCTCAGATCCAGCTCTTTGCCTGGTACTATGAATGAAAGTTAGTTTGAGACAGCTTTTCCAATATGGCGACCACCATGGTTAGGCTTCAAAAGCCTGCTTCAGCAACCAATGGGTGATGTCACTGAGAATACATCCATGTTTATATATGTTCTCGGGCCAAACTTTGTATAAATTATAGCATGTGAAACAAAAGAAAACCTTGAAAAATATTGTCTTTTTTTTCTTCATGAAATGTTTAGGATGTCATAAATTTGTGTTTTTGTATTGATAAACTTATTAAGAAGAGTATTCGGTAAAGCTGCTTGTTAATGCAATCCTCTTTAAAGTCAATCGTGTTCCAGCTGATTGATGCATCAGAGCATGCAGACGAGGTCAAAAGGTTCATATGTTGCTCTGACTAAGAGAATAAGGAAGAAAGACAACAGCAGGTTTCACTCCTCTCAATTCAGAACAGGAAACTACCGCTGATGAGCAATCCCTCACTGCTGCTGGTGAATGCTTCCTGACTCACAAAGCCCCCTTTGAAATTATCTGAGCATTGTTTTTGAGCATCAGGTGCTCCTCATCATGGCCAATGTAAACACACTTATGCACAAAGTCACAAAGCAGGAGTGGGATGTGATGGAGAGGTTTAAAGCACAAAGCTTGCATGCCAACATTGTTTAAATGATAACGGCTTTCCTGGTTGAACATTAAAGGATCAGTCACCATGACAACTGAGAAAACCCAACTCCTTATGAACGCTCTGCGGTTTGGCTTAAAGCTCTGAAAAAGATAACTAAGTGAACCTTGAGAGGCGAGTACACAAACCTTGATATTCCCTGCTTTTGAAATTATTGAGGATTACAGCTCTCGACACCGAGGTTTTTATTATAAGTTGTAACCCAATGTTTACACCACCTCTGACCTCACCTCTCTGTACGCTGAGCTGCACTGTGTCTGCATGGGGAGGTGAGATCAGGTAGGGTAAATCTTGCAGCAGACATACTTAGAAAGCTAATCTCCTTACAGACCTGGAGACTGAGATGAGCTTGAGCTCGGTTGCAGGGAAAGAAAAAGGGAAGTGGTGTGCAGACAGGACAACAGTAGTAGAGTAGTACTTGGAAAGAATCCAGGCTGTCGGACTCTGAGGAGGGATGTTATGATACAAAGTATGACATGCAAGATCAGCAGCAAACACAAGACTAAGTAGGAAGCAGGGAAACTGAATCCATGTATCCCTTATTTATATTTATTTCAAGGTAGTGAGACTTTGCTGAGTAATATGAGGGGGAACGGCTTTTTATGATGACTTTTTTACTTTAAAAGAAATCAAAATAATAGTTATTTTTAGATCAAATAATATTCTGAAACACCTTCTTTGGTTTGATAGGTATGAAGCCTGTTCACACTTACACAAAACTCCTAAAAGTTCATCAACATTTTGGGGTTGAGCGACATGTGTGAACGCAAATTGCTGGATTTTACACCCCCACTTTATATGAATTAATTAATCTCTTCTTTTTGTGTCTGGCTTCAAATGGCCCATTCCTTAAAGTCTTTATGTGATTTTTCACACTTAAATATAATAGAAATCAAGTATATCCTCTGAAAATAACTCTGTGAGTCATGACTGTCTACAATGGGTGTAACACCCGAGTCCCACTGTCTGTGATGTTTTCAGAGTTTTCAGAGTCCTATCTTCAGTTTGTTTACATCGTCCGGATGGCCGGCTGACTCCTCCCCTCGTGTATAAAAGTTGTTTAATTGAGGGACTAGAGAAAAGAAGAATAACATACTGTACTCACTGCTTAACTGTGTTTCTAGATCACGCTCATTTCAGGTAAATTTACATGCAGTGTGAAGATACCAGCATAATAAAGATCGCTAGCATTAGCATGCTAACACAACAATGCAGCGCGAGTTGTTTTGGTTTCATGCTGGTGCTCAAGGGCGACATCTGCTGGATCAAACAATTGCATGTAAAGCCTTTGAGGGAATGTAAGTTTACTCTGAAGTGTTGTTTGTCCTGCCTGTCCCCTAGTGAAATTTCAGCGAGAAGTCTGTGTGAGCTGATGTGTGAACGCAGCAGGAAATATTCAGGACAATTCACCGCAAGCAGCCTGTCCTGGAAATTTACTCGTAATTTTCAGGAGTGCATGTGTGAAAATGGCTAAAGAAAGTCCTCTAGCAGGTCATACCATATCCTTCTTCAGTGTATGAAAAATTATATGCTGCTGAAAGTCCCATCTGCCCGTTTGCAGGTCTAATGAGTGTGTGTGACCAGTGCAGAAAGGTGCACACAGTCACTGATCAAAGACCCCCCAAACAGGAGTCCCCCTTGTCTCCAGGGTCCAAGGGCCACAAAGCAGGTATGCTCCAGTAAGAGGACAAGGATGTCATTGTGCAAAGAGACAGAAGCAGAGCCCCACCTGCTCACTGCTCAACCAATCGGATCGGCTTCTCTTGGCTGCACCTCAGGTGTCCTCTGTCTGTCCTCGGGGGGCAGAAGGGCCCAATGGTCAGGTAGACAGAGAGCACCTGTTGGCAGAACAGATGGGAAGTAAGAGACGGGACGTTTTAGTCAAACAAGCAAATGACTGTCAGTGAGTTTTCTTTGTTTATTGCACAAAAAAGCCAAATTCATGACTGGAAAAATGTTTGCAATAATGAAGAACAACAATGCAACCATTTGTTTCCTTGTATACCTGATTGATTATTTTTCAGTCTATTAGTCGGAGGTGAGGTGCTCTAATCCTCAAAGATACTGAGTCTGTGACAACACAATCAAAAGTAAAGAGTCACATTACACAAGTTAAAAGCAATATGTGTTTGGCTTGTTTTGTTTTATAATTAACCTAACTGATTAATTTATCTCATGAGGAAGGATCTGTCAACAGGCCAATCAGCTTATCTTGAGGTTGCCAAACGTTAGTGTCTATAGGATCTATAACTCGAGTTAAAGCAGTAAAATGACAAAGTAAAAATTCTTAAGACTAAGTTTATTTATTTATGTTTATTTCATTGGGATTGCAAATCTCTTTCCCACGTGTTGTCCTGGCTAAGACATGCGGCAGCTCAGTTTTCAATTTTCTGACAAATAATAAGCAGCCACACAAAGAGCATAATACCTTAAAAAGACATTGAATAACCACTGAAACCAGCAAATATTGATTCATATTCATATTGAAATCATGAGTATATTAGGCAGAACATCTACGGCCAGATGTGCCTGCCTCCAAGTTTTTTAAAGTCGCACCTTCAAAGCATCAGATGAGACTTTCCACAGTCTGATTTAAAAAAAATATATAATATGCAATGTGTGATTTAAAAACAGAAAAAGCAAAGTATTAGTTACATGGTTTATTATTTGCATGATGCAGATAATGTTTGACTGATGCATTGATTTTCAGAGATTTTAAAACAAGATGAAATATCCTTAACACATTTCCCTTAAATCCACCTCGGCTATAACATCTAAACACTGAAATGTTTTCCCATGTAAATTCAGCTCTGAGAGGGACCACACTGACGTCATAACGGGCATTTCATTTGATGAGTGTGATATCTTTTTAGTGTTTTAAACAGTATTTTACACTGAGCTTTATTGTGAATGAAGAACATCATTCTCTTACTCTTATCTTAGTTATATTCCTCCTTATTATATCACCCCCCCCCCCCCCCACCCCCCCCCCCCTTTAGGATCCGTGTCAGCCTGAATCTGATTCAACTGACTACAAAAGACTGTTTAGACCCACGAGACACAACAGAGAAAGTGAAACACAAGATGTTCCTCCTCTCTAAACTCCACCCTCCTCTCCCCGGCAGGAGGAGCGCTTCCCTCTGGACCAGTCCTCCCCTCTTGTAGAAGTGACGGAGACGCGCACTCCCTCCCCCTCCCGCTCCCCGCTCCCGTGACGCAGCGCCTCCCCGTGCGCACCGATGCTGGAGTGGAAGCGACAGGCGCGCTCATCTCTGTGGGACTGATCGCGTCGAGGAGCGGAGACGGGAGGAGACAGGATCACCACCCAGGTCTGCGTCCGACAGGAGACCTCTTTCCGCGGGGGGAAACGATGCTCAAAACGAGACTCTCCGCTGGCAGCAGGACTTAAAAAAAAGCTGCGGTCCAT